GCGGGTCTCTCAGCCTCCGCGGCCGCGCTCCCCGCAGGCGGAAGAGTCTCGCCCAGGACGGGGTACGTGAGGCCGTGGTTTTCGTGCCGCTCCGCTGGCACCGAAGGCGGGGCGAGGGGGGCCGGCGGGGCAGGGGACAGCTCGCGGCCGATGCAGCCAGAGGGGGCCGAGGGAGGTGCTGCAGGGAGGGGTAGCGGGAGGAAGGTGTTGGCAGGAGGGTAGCGTGGGACACCCTCCGCCGGCGGCGCGCTCCCGCTTGCTTCCAGCGGCCCTCGCGTGCCCGTGGGGAGCAGCAGCGGCTCTTCCCTCCTCCACCTGCGCCCGAGACGGCCCCGTCCGGCCCGGCGCGGTGCCCGCGGCTCGCACGCTGCCCAGGGTGTTGAGCTGGAGCAGAGCGAAGGGGCTCGGCTTGGCGCGGCCCGGGCTCGGTGCTGGGGGTGACCGTCCGCGTGTGCCGTCTCCTCGCGGTGGGGCCGCGACCTTTCACCATAGCGCGGCCGCGGCCGCAGGAAGTCACGGGCCTGGCTCTCCCCAGGGAGGAGGGTGACCGGGTGGCAGCGGGGCCCGGCCGCTGCAGGGACGCGGTCGGGTGTCCCTCAGAGTGCCATTAACCGCGCCTGGGAAAGGGAGCGGCGGCGCTGAGAGGGAAAGTTTGAGGTGTAAAGAGGACATCTTTATAAAATGACTTATTTTTTTGTCTAAGTAGTGCTGCCCTCAGCGTAACAGTTACTGTCAGGACTGATTGCAGCTTTGGGGTTCCACCTCATACTGCCCTGTGTGAGCCCATTAAAGAAATATCGATGCACTTAGTATATACTCATGAGCAAAAATAGGCCTGTGGATAATTGCAGAATTGATCTTTATTTCTGCCTTGCTCAAGTCTTCAAACTTTAATATTGTTCTTAAAGAATGCTTGCTGTAGACAGCAGCCCCAGTGCTCTATGGCTGAGCATCACAGATTGATGTAAGGTGATTACTCGTTTAATAATTTTGACACAGAGCCTCATTTTTGTGTAAGTTCATTTAAAAGTTCCTTTCTTCCCGTCTTTCTGTGATATTTAAAAACTAGCCAATATAGCATAGTGGTGTGGGAAACTGAAAGCAAAACCACGCGTAATGACTGAAATGAGTTAGTGGTCTAAAGATCCCCCTTAAAGAAATAGTGGACTTAACAGAAATGTTCATATAAGCTCCTTACAGTGACCAGTGACCAAATATCTTATCATAGTACATTCATATGGGGAAAGCATATGGCTTGAAGCATGTTCTGGTTGGTTACTTGTGGAAGATGCTGTCATCTTCTTCAAGGAAAATAAGCTTTTCTTATTAACTTTACATTTCTCTCTTCATTCTATTTTTTACTTTCTTCTTAGGAGGTTCCTTTCTTCACTAACCTGATGGGTTTTCAGGGCCTTTGTGCAGCTTAAGACAGTTTGTTTCTAGCAGACTTTTTGTATTTTCTTGCAGCTGCTTTTAATATTTTGTTCAAGTGAAATCCATTCATTCTGGGAGAGAGAAACATACTTCCGATTCTTGTGTTTTCATTTAACTTCATTTGCCTTAATAATCTAGTAGTTGTTTTAACCTGAGCACTAGTATCCACCAAGTGTTATTTTTGCAGTGAGTATAGCTGTCTTCAGTCACCAGTTTGTTCTTCAAGTGTTCTTGTATTTCTGTTTATTCAACATAAGTGAGAAATGCTTCCTCAGAACAGTGGGAGAACCTGTCTGCCCTTGGAAAAGGGGAGGAGACAGATTGTAGGAAGGGCGTTGAAGGACAGCTAATGAAAGGGGTTTTACCTGTTCCGTTGCCGTGAAGTATGTGGCTGTAAAAGTTTAAACCAAGAGAGCAAGTTTTGTACCTTTATTCAGGTAAGAAACTCCAGCTGAAAGTGTCTGTCTTCATCAGAGTTTTCTGTCTGTGTAGTAAGATATAATTGGACTAGAACCTGTGCATGTGTCCATAGAAACGCATATGAGGATAAACTTTAGCCTAGCTCTTGTGGTCTTGGTGGAGACTCAGCTTCAGTATGTCACTGGCCTTTCACAGTTGAAATACAGGTTATTTTTTCCCTTTTTTTTTTGTGGGTGTTGAGAACTAGATATATATGGAACATTGTCATAGAGTCATTGACTAGTTTGAGTTGGAAAGAATCCTAAGATCACCTATTTCCAACCCCTTCCATGGGTAAGGACACCTTCCACTAGACCGGATTGCTCAAAGCCCCCTCCAGCCTGGCCTTGAACCTGCCAGGGATGGGGCAGCCACAGCTTCTCTGGACAACTTGTTCCAGTGTTACAACCCCTGTAGTAAAGAACTTCTTCCTAATAATCTAATCTAAAGCCATTTCTTTCAGTTTTAAACAGTTGCTCCTTGTCCTGTCAGTACAGGCCCTGGTAAAAAAATCTCAATTTTCTCATAAGCACCTTTTATGTATTGAAAGGCTTCAGTAAGGTCTCCCTGGAGCTGTCTGCAAGGTTGAAAGAGTTTTGCTAGAATGAATGCTAGTTAGTTTTTGGTTTGGAAGTTGACTTAATTATATTAGCTGACGAAACAAATTATACATCCCCTTTAAATCATAAAAGGGAATGTTGTTGGTTTTGGTTTTGGTTTGTTTGTTTTGTTTCAGCCTTTTAGAACTAGAACTGTTTTGTAGAAGTAAGATTTCTTTCATTAAGTTATCCAGTCATTTAACAGGCTATTAAGTGTCACAGGAAGGTTGAGGTTGGAAGGCAGCTCAAGAGGGCATCTTGTTCACCATCGCTGTCATGCAGGGCCACCCTGAGTCAGTTGCCAAGGACTGTGTCCAGACAGCTTTTGAGTATCTCGAGGATGGAGATTCCACAACCTCTCTGTGCAGCCTGTGCCAGTGCTCAGTTACCCCCACAGAGAGAAAGTGTTTCCTGATGTTCAGAGGGAATTTCCTGTGTTTCAGTTTGTGCCAGGTACCTCTGGTCCTGCCAGTGGGCGCCACTGAAGAGAGCCTGGCTGTGTCCTTGTTGCACCCTTCCTTTAGGTGTTCATGGACATTGATAAAATCCCCCTGAGCCTTCTCTTCTCCAGGCAGAACAGTCCCAGCTTTCCCAGCCCTTCCTCACAGGAGAAATGCTCCAGTCCCTTTATCATCTTTGTTATACTCTCTCCAGCACTTCCATGTCTCTTTTGTACTGGGAGCCCAGAAGTGGACACAGAACTTCAGGTGTGGCTTCATCAGTGCTGAGCAGAGGGGAAAGATTAGCTCCCTCCACCTGCTGGCAGTGCCTAATGCAGCCCAGGGTACCATTCATCTCTCTGCTATAAGGCACATTGCTGGCTCTAGTTCAACTTGGTGTCAGCCAGGACCCCCAGGTTCTTTTCTGCCAAGCTGCTTTCTAGCAGTGTGGTCCCCAGCATGTACTGGCAAATGGAGTGGTTTGGGTGCAAGACTTGGCACTTCCCCATGCTGGACTTTGCATGGTTCCTGTCGGCACATTTCTCCACCCTGTCGAGGTACCTCTGGGGGCATCCAAGTAGAGGGTGAAAAATAATTTCTTTTTGACATATCAGAAATACTTTTCCAGTCTTTTGTCTTGACCTGCTTTCTGAATTACAGTACTTTATGTTCTGTTTGAAGGAGATGATTACATTTAGCTATGTTAATACTATTTAAATGGTCCTTTATGGGAAAGAAATCCAAAGGAAAATAGAGCTTTGAAGAAATACAGCTTCAATTACTCTGAAGATGCCTGAAAGTGTATTTACAGGCAAGGTAATGACTTCTGTAGGTTTGACATAACCATCATTGTGTCCAGTGGGGAGAAGAAATAGCACAGCATGCTTGCCTGTTTACTTCTACCTGTGGCCAGCTGCACCACAAGGTGAGAACCATGTGGTGGTGACAACAGTGGAAACCATGAGCTGGCAGGGAAAAGGAGGGATTACTGCAGGATGAGGAAGAGACACATTCACACTTGAAGAGGAAAAAAAAGTACAGACGGAGCCATTTTAAGAGTGGAAGAGAAGGGAGGGCTGTAGGAGCAGTCATAAATCTGGAGTAGCACAGTGCGGCAGTTGTGTGTGGAAGTTACAGAGGAACAGGGATCTGAAAATTGCTAGGGAAAAGAGTAGTCTGGGAAAACAAATACATGGTTGAGCCCAGATACTGTACAAAAGTAAAAGTGATTTTGGAATTGAGTGGTTGATTTTAATGCTTTAAGGAAGCATCATAATTATGGATGGATTTCTGGGACTAGATTTAGCAGGACAAAGTTTTTAATCTTATTCACAGGAGGTGGCCTGTGATTGCAGTGTAGGCTGCCCTGCTTTTGGCTGGCATAGAGTTAATTTTCTTCCTAGTAGCTGGTGCAATGCTGTGTTTTGGCTTTAGTCTGAGAACAATGCTGATAACACACCAATGTTTTAATTGTTGTTGAGTAGCACTTGCCCTGATCAAGGACTTTTCAGTCTCATGCTCTGCCAGTGAGGAGGGACACAGGAAGCTGGGAGGGAGCAGAGACAGGACACCTGACCCAAACTAGCCAAAGGGGTATTCCATACCACAGCACATCATGCCCAGTATGTAAACTGGGGGGAGTTAGCTGGGGGTGCCAGTTGCTTCTTGGGAACGGGCTGAGCATCGGTCAGCCAGAGGTGAGCAATTGTACTATACATCACTTGTTTTCCTTCCTCTCTTTATCCACTACTAGTAGTATTATTATTATTACATTTTACTTTTATTTTAAACTGTTCTTGTCTCAACCCCAGGTTTTACCTTTTTTCTGATTCTCTTTCCCAACCCACTGGAGGGAGGGAGGAGGTGGTACTCAGTTGCTAGCTGGGCTTAACTCATGACACAGGCAAACTCTGATTATGTATTTATTTATTTAATCATCATTTATTTATTTAATCATCATGTGTCACCAAATTGAGAACTGTCTTATTTCAGTCACTTTGTAACTAATTAACTTTGCTTTTCTCTTCCTGCATTTAAAGTACTGTGTGATGCTCTCTCTGTGAAGTGGGACATTCTTTATCCTTGGTATTTGTTGTTTCACTGTGTTGATCCCTTTTTCCCCTCTGTCAGAAGGGCACTGTATTAGCTGTCTGTTTTGGAGACTGAAAATACGGGTATCTTACGCAAGGTTCCCTGGCCTGATTCAAAGATCATTTTCTGGTCTACATAGGAAGCCCTATTGTATGTATCTTACTGTTTTGAACTTACAATGCCAGGGAGAACATTGTGGTTTGAAGATGAAACTTAGATTGAAATAGTTGCTAGTTTGCTATTTTTCTTTGCTTGCATTTGTTCTTGTGTTTAATTTGAACAGTGTATTCTATTTCTTTTCCATTTCAGATACGATGATTTATATATAATGCCTAAGTTTTTGGGTTGTGTGATGATCTTCATTTGCAATTCTGTTTGTAGGGTAGGTTGTCGTATCTTTTTAAACGTAGCTCAATATAGAATCCATAGAGGAAAATGGGATACTTAATTCTGTAAAGAAAACAAACCCAGGTATTGTAGAAATTGCTCATGAGAGTTGTCAAACATCTCAAGGTTTTGCTACTTTGTATTAAATGCATCTTTGGCTGTGTTTCAGGTCTTGGGGACAAAGCTGTTAATGGAAAAATTAATGTGTAAGTACAGAATAAGAAGAGCAATCTAATCTTTGAGGAGATGGCAGGATTCCTGGACAACTTCCGCTGGCCAGAATGTGAGTGTATTGACTGGAGTGAAAGAAGAAATACTATTGCTTCAATAGTTGCTGGTGTATTGGTAAGTTTTGAGAGGATACGAATGAGAACTGTGTGGGCAAATTTGAAACTATGACGAACAGTTACATTTTTGTTTCAAGTTTTGTACAGTTCCACTGTTAATTGCATGTCATCCCATGTATTTCTTTAAGATCATTTTTAAGTGCAATTATTAAAAAGCCTTTTTACATAACTTTGCATTTTGTCTGATAATGATGTACCGTTTCTGCACTCTTCCTTAAAAAAAATTGACATTCCTACTGATTTTTTTGCATAATTAGGTATGTGAGAACACCAGTGTTACACATGGTTTGCATCTCATGTGTTTATAATTTGAATTCTTGTTTTTAAAGCTGTTCAGGGAGTTTAAACAAACAGTGATACTTAATTTGAATAGAAAATGTGACCAGATGCTTCTCTGAAGGTGGTAAGTTTTATGTGGAAACTGCATATCAAACAGATTTAGAGTCCATCTTAAAGCTAATAACATCCTAGAGTAGTTTGCACTTGTTGAATGACAGTTAAGCCAATGGTATGCATGAACTTTTGCCATGTTTTGTCAGTGTGTCTCTGTAGCCTTTCAGCCTTGTGATACTGGTCTGTTTTACTTCTAGTTTTTCACAGGTTGGTGGATTATGATAGATGCTGCAGTAGTTTACCCTAAGCCAGAACAAATGAACCACGCGTTCCATACTTGCGGAGTGTTTTCAACACTAGCTTTTTTCATGTAAGTGTTCTTATGTAAAGGGAGTTCTTATAAACATGAGCTGTTAAACACAATTTTTACTAGACTATGTGGTATATGATAAAACTTTGAATCGCTTGGTTGTAAATGACTTAAGAGTAATCTTGTACCTTTTTGCATGGCAATGTAAAGGCTTTTTTTATTTTACCTGTGGCCTTTGTTTCTGGTCATAGCCTGTTTATTCATTGTTCTGTCTATCTGCGCCCCCATCTGTTTGGGGTCACTTGCTTTACCTATGCACTTCAGCTGAACGTTAGAAAGCAGACCTTATGCAAGTGGCTTTCTATAATAAGTATTTAGATTCCTAGATCAGAAATTATGTAATGCTGTCCCAGTTGCTTACTTCAATATAAAACATTTTACTGCATTTGCCCCTAATTTTAAATACTTTTTACAGCTTCTCTGGCCCAAAACTTCCTCAAATGGGAGAGGTAGTATTATAGCTAGTGTTGTTATAAAGAGGTAAATGTGGCAAGCTTGAAGTAATAGCTTTTATCAAATCCTAGAGTGATGGTGAGAAAAAGATGCATTTGGATATGCAAGACCTTCTTAACACTTGGTGTCTGAAAGTTTCTGGTGTTTTGTATTTTTTTTCCCTCAGCAGTGTAACTTGCTTTAGGAAAATGTATTGTCCCTCCTTAAAGGGTGTCTCTCACTTGAAAACTTACAGTATTCATTGTGAAGGAAAGCAACTTATATCAGAATCATGAGAGCACTCATTATTGGCTGTTATTATTCCTGTGAAGTGGCTTTAGATAGTTTTAAAACTTGAACAGCCAGAAAGTGACCAGAAATATTACAGTCACTAAAAAAGGGCGATTCTGTCATCTTACCTGTTTGGTAATATAAAAATTGATGTAAAACTTAGGAACAAATACAGGGTTTGCTTGAAATCCAGTTGGAATCCTTCGGTTAAGGAATAATACGTGACTATATAGAACGACAAATCATTTTCCCAGAATTTGTTGCATCTTAAAAAAAGCCAGCTTTTTACTTACAGCTTTAAATCGATTTTCTAATAATCTGAAGTGTATACCCTTTCTTTATTCCTAGGATAAATGCTGTATCAAATGCGCAGGTGAGAGGAGACAGCTACAGTGATGGATGTTTAGGAAGAACAGGTAAAACAACACTAGAAGTCATGCTAAGTTGAAAAAGTGATTATTTAGGTGTTGGGTTTTTTTCTAATTGGTGTTTAAAGAAATCGTAGAAGTTAAGGAGTAGGAGAGAACTTCACAGAAGTTCATTTCTGTACAAAATTAACACTTGGAGATAAGTACTGTCATTGTTAAAAAGCTAAACTTAGAAAAATTCAACTTGTGTGTATCTCAAATACCTAAAGTTTCCTCTGCAAATTCTGTATAGCTGCTAGGAGAAAAAGATTTCTGCTTCGTGGCAGGCTATGGACCAGACATTCTATAAGAATGTCTTATTTTAGAATGTATTGTAAACATTCTGTTTCCTTTGTATGTCACCTACTGTGTGGTGTCTGTGGACTTGCTGTCCTCTCTCTGCTTTCATTCGTAATTCCCTTACTATTTCCCATGCGGATCCCAGCATCTGTTTCCATGCGAGTTGTAGAATGCCAGACCAGAAATCTGGTAGGATTTACCAATTTCTTTGAACTGGCATATGATGCTTTTTTTTTTGCATGTCATTCCTAAGTCAGCTTGAGAGAATCTTTGCCTAGAAGTACTTTTCCTTTCCCACGAGTGAGCAGGTTGATTATTTTCCATGGCATCATCTTCCTTTTTCAGGCAGTAATGCCTAGCTATGGTAGGTATTTTCAGATGTTGCCCATCTGAAAATATCTCTCTGAAGTAAGCACAGGAAGTGTTTGTTTTACGTGCCCCATTGGAATGCCATCTTTTCCTTAGAAACAGTATAGCTTTGGCAAAGTACCTTGTCATTAGTCCATTCCACGTTGTGTTAAATGATGTTACAGGCATTGCCTACAGGTGAGGAGAAATTTCTGATAGTTGTGTCTGCTCTCTAAAATAAGGGGAATCCAGCTACTATGTGTTCTACTAGAGAAGGCTAATTTTGGTTTATCTTGTCCTTGATACAGGGTTTAACGCTTCCCCTTTGTGCCTCCAGCAAGATAATATGTCATAACAGAGTAGTACCTTGGATTGTCTGTTGCTACAGATAATAGCCTATGTAATTCTCAGAGGTTTTAATATTTCCTGCAGGTGCTCGTGTCTGGCTCTTCATTGGCTTTATGCTGATGTTTGGTTCACTTATTGCTTCAATGTGGATTCTTTTTGGAGCATATGTAACACAGAGTAAGTTGTGTTTATTTTCACATATAGAAAAGTACTTTTACTGTCAGCCAGAAGGCAGAAAATCCAGAAGAATTGAAGCACGTGGTGAGCTCTTGTCAGAGCCATACCATCTAGTTTTGTAGTCAGAGTGATACTATGAGCAGCAGTCTAAATTGTACAGTACAAAATAATTTACTGTTTCCTTTGTTACTTACTTTGCAGACACTAATGTTTACCCTGGATTAGCAGTGTTTTTCCAAAATGCATTGATATTTTTCAGGTAAGTTATCTGGGCACATATCACTCCTTCCAAGGGGTATCTGACCTAACCCGCTTCCATGGACATTAATACTCCTGGAAAATGAGTTCTGAAAGCTGGAGGCTGACTCTGGGCTTGGACCTGACACATTGTGGAGTTTGCTGCTCTTAATGCAGGACCCTCTGTCTATCGGTTCATTACCCACCCTGACCTTAACATGAGGGGGGTGACATGTAAACCAAAGGGACCTCTTGGGTCACTTGAGTAAACCAACATAATTACACAGAACTGATGTGAAATTATTCAGTGCATAAACTGATCAAACTATTTCTTAAAAGCTGCATTTTTTTTTTCTCTGCTACTTTTTTCTACTCCCTTAGCTCCAGTGCTCAGAACCACTGTTTTTATTTGCCCCTTCTCAGCCCATGAGAGGCTCTTCATTTCCTTCAAGTTCCTGTTAGTCCAGCTTGCTCTGATCTATAATGTGCCTGACCAAGAATATAGACAGTATTCTTGATAAGATGCTGTCAGTGTCAGGAGAATGGCAAGAACACTTTAATCTCTGTACTACAAATACCATGCCATATATCCTAACAGAACTAAGTGGGTGATCATATTGCCCTTTTCCTGACTGTTTCGTACCAATAGCATTTTTTTCCTAAGAGTATGATGGTATGTTTTGTAATATTACACTTAAATCAATTTCTTTTATTTGGCTTAGTATCAGTAAGTATATCGTGTGGCACTTCAGAAATATTTATATCTGTAGTAACTTTTTATATCCTGTACTCTCTAATCCATGGATTTTATTATTTAATAAAAGACAATGAAAGCATTAAATAGTGTAAGTTCCAAGATCAGTCACTGCCGAAGTTCTTTCGCAAGCTCTTACTCACTTGAATTACGGTGCTAACAGTTTTCTTTTAGTACCATACCAAATGCCTTGTGGCGAGTTAGATTGGCTCCACTTTGCTTCCCTGTTTGGAAAATCAGTTGTGTTCTGGCAGAAAACAGCAGTTCCCAAACCTCTTTTGTAGTCTTGCACACAGTTTAAGTGGGATAGTGCTGAAGGCAGCCTTTGGGTAATTGTTTCACCATGCCTGAAATCTTTAGTCTTATTTCAGTAGTTTGATGAACTTACTTCTGAAGCTGCTTCTTGTTTCTGAAAGTGTGTACTCTGTACCTAGATGTATTTAGGTTTATTTGTTTCTTTTTGTATTCTCAAACTTGCAAAATTACAGTCTTCTTATTAAAAAAAAAAAAAAGCTTTTTTTTATCCCTTGAACTGCATGTATCCGTCAGGACTCATGCTTCTGCTCTTGTTACCCCACCAGTGTTTTTTACTTAACGTTGTATATTAGTTGTTCTCTGGTTAATTGACCAGGTGTCTATCACTTGTTACTGTTGTTCTCAGGGTCAGTATTTCTCATTTCCCTCCCTCTTCATTCTCTTGTGATTTAGTGTGACTCTGCCACCTCTTTGGCTATAAGGGGAAATAATTCATGGTATAAGAAACAATCAGGAAATCATGCTTGGTTTTGTTCCCTCAACATTTTTTGTTTTTCATTTATGACAATATGTAATTGCATCCAACCTTATAAAAGGAATTTTGGAAGTCAAAATGTAATTTGGATCTCGCTTACCTCCCCCAGGGTATTTTCTGATTCGCTCCTAAAAATGTAATAGGTTACATTTCATCCTGGCACAATGCGTTAGGTTCAGCTGATTGGCGGATGCCAGGATGAGACTTGCTGCTCTGTAACTGTCTGGATTGGTCCTACAATCAATTAAATTCTGCATTTTTTTCCTTCAGAAGGGCAGCTGCTTTTACTGTTTTTCATTGGAGCAGTTTCTTCAGCTGCGCCTCATAGTTTTAGCAAGGCATAGTAAATGGAGTAAAAGTACAAACCCCAGATATTAACATCAATAAAAGTCAGTCAGGGTTACTGGGGGGATGTTGATTTGCAGTGTAGATGGTGTAAGAGTCTAAGAATACTATTAAAATTACTTTCCAACCTTATGTATGTATGATTTTTATTTTTTTCCCTTTAGTACCCTGATCTACAAGTTTGGAAGAACAGAAGAGTTATGGGCATGAGTTATTGCCTATGGCATTTCTATTCCACAGTTGCTATGTCGTACTATGTATGTAGATATATTTACATTTATTTGTTCTTGGTTTGCTTTCTAAATTGAATGAACTGAGGCAAATTACAATTTCTGTAATAAGCTCCCTCTTTTCACAGGACAGATTTGTGAATATGTACATATGACTGTATATATCTTAAAAAGGGAACGTCAGGCTTGCTTTCTGAAACCTTCAGGCTTATTTATTCAGATACAGGGGTTTCTGTCAACCCCTGAGGCTTGATCTTCCACACCTTCATGTGTGTTAGAGACTTCAGGGGAACCATTAGTGAACAAGCAGGATAAAGGCTGTACCCTGTGAAAGGGGTGATTACTGTTATGTAGGGGGGAGCACAAAGCCAATTCTGCAAGGGCTGCCTGTGTAACCTGAAGGAGTAGCCAGCGCATGGAAGTGACACGGCTGAGCCTGCTTTTAATGAGAGGAAATTCTGTTGTATGCTGAGATAAAAGCTGATTTTAAGAATTTTATATAACTGTTCAGAAAAATACAAAGTAGCTATTTTTTTGTAAAAGGTTATGAATTTTTAAACCAGGCCCTCCATCAAGCAGGTTCCGCATGGCAAATGAAAATGTTCTTGACTTCTGATTGCTACAGCACAAACAGCATTTGGTAGCACCACAGTCCTGAGAATTAATTTCATGCTGTTCTGGGTAATAAATACAAATTAGTATTTAAGGTATTTACTGGTATTAGAATAAAACCCAACACACTGATGCCAGTCCTACTTAAAAGACCATAAACGTGAGTCGGGCTAGCATCTTTAAAATTATGCTAGCAGAATTCAGGGGAAGCTTTTTGCTGATAAATGAACAGTTACCCTGCTGCCCATTACCTTTGCTATTTAACAGGTGATCATTTTGAGTGGGGATATAGTAGACGTATTTATTGCTCACAGTCTTACCTTGAAATAATTGCCAGTTTTAGGACAGCCATTTGCTCCGGTTAAAATGTATTTATCTCCTAAATTTGCTGGGCACTTTATGGGAATAATTCCATTGTTGAAATCCAGTTTCTTCTAGTTATACAGAAAGGGAGAACAATTATGCTTTATAACTTTGGCCTGATCTTGTATATTCATCTGGCTGTTGGTGACTTCATGAGTTCAGTGTGGTTTTTAAAGCATTTGAATCTACCTGGTGTCGAAGAGCTTTTTATGATGCTCCATCTATCAAGACTGCTGACCGAATGGTATTGAACTGCAGAACGTACCTTCTGTGCATGGTTACTGTATCCTGTTCATCATTAATTGCTCCCTTGGGGGAACCTCTCCAGTGGACAGAATATGAAGCAAATACTGCGGCTGAAATTGTGCTACTGGCCAGACCAACTTCACCCCAGCTTCACCGTCCTGCAGTGAGTTGCAGTAGATTCACTGCTGTTTATCAGAGCTGTGTACACAAGTTGTCTGTTTGGTTGTCATTTCAGAAAACTGCAATAAACTTTATCTTATGTTCTCAAACTAGTGAATTGAGCAGGAGTACTCGGAAGTAGTCCAGTAGTACTGATCTTTGAGCAAGTCATAACTCCAGGTAATAAGTAAAACCCAACATTTGTGGTTTTAGGTCTGTCATTTCTTGCTGAGGAGCTTGGGCATGTTGCTAGCTTTTTTTTCCTAAGTGAGAAACCGGTGTGGCCTATAATTAATCTCAGTTGCAGGATCTTGCACTGGCCACTTGAACAGCACAGGCTGCTGGACTCTGGAAGGCTCTTACAGCATGCTTTAATGCAAGTTCCTGCTTAAAAAAACCAAGTTTTCTTTAGAACAGCGCAGGAGCTTCTTTGGGGTTACCTCATTTTCTACCAGAAGTCTGCTTTCTAGCAAATATTTCTCAACAAGTCAGTCATCGCTTTTGACTGGAATGTTCATGCCCTCCATACAGCCGCTAGGAGGAGAACAGAGACAGGTTTGAGCATTTGTCTTTCGTGGTAGCCTAAGCTGAAAGCAGGGGTAGTACAAGAAATTTACAAGTGTCTGAGGTCTGCTTTTATACACCCCAGGCAGTTCCAGCACAGGCCAAGGTGGCTAGGGACAGTTCACTTTAAGTTGTGTCTTAGCCCACCATCATTGGCAGTTGTGAAGATAAATAACCCTTGAGTTGCTCCTAACAAAAGGTTTTTAGCTTTGGCCAATTTGTCTAACTGTAAAATTCTTCAGTAACAACTTTCTCTAACAGAAGTCTCGTGTAGGGCTTGCTCAGGAAGTCATATGCTGTATTGCTAGTCACAGCATGTGTTTTAACTGCTCCCTTATTTATGTATGTCCTCTGTAATGCAGTTAAGTTGTTCCTTTGTGAGTCTGTGAGTCTTCATTTATTTATAGCACAGTATAGGAAAAGGCTGTGGATGAAGTTAAAAGCAGGCAGCTTCTGCAGCCTCTGTCTGACTGGAAATGTATCACGAGCCTTGACGTATGACTTAAGTAAATGTGCTGTCTGAGCATGCTGCCTCAGCACAAGTGGCAAGATCAGTTCTATGAGGAAATAACCTGACAAAGGTTTTGGAAGAATGGTACTGGTGTTTCATGCTGGACTTGTGTATCCCTGGAGGGGGCAGAACAGCACTACCACAGGTAGCGTGCACTTCAGACAGTAGCCAAGGTCACGAACAGAGTGAGGTAACTTGAACAAGTCATTTGCAAATGAACAGGTTTGTTCTTTTAACGTCGTGTATCAAACCCAGGAAAAAAAAATCAGCCAAATAAAACCAATCTTTTTTAGTACAGAGGTGGTTTATTTGTGCTTTATTAGACACCCTCCAGGCCCCACAGGACTGTGATCTGAGGCTTAACTTCTTAGTTGTTTGCTTTAAGGCACTCAAACCAGAACCCTCAATCAACTTCTCATTTGCAGAACTAAGCTGATTGATAGGCAACAAGAGGTTTTAGTGTTTGATAATTACTAATGTGTTACAAATTCTAAGCAAGAGTATTTAAAGCTTGTTTTGCTGCGAAGAACAACTGTCTCACTGCAGGTGCAAAGATTAATGCTTCTCGTGAGTGTTAGGAGGCAGGAATAAGGAGATCTTTCCTGGGGACTTGTTCCTTACAGTTTCCTGCTGGGGAGAGTAAAGTACAATTTCTTTTTTATTAGACTGCTGTTTTTATCTGGAGGGAAGAAGCTGTCACAGAAACCTGCACATACCTACAATGATTCAGAAAAGCATACTGGGGTGGATATAATACACACTGAGCACTAACACTGACTTAAATAAAACAACAAAACAAAAGCGACTATAAATGTAGTTCCTGGTGCAATTATTCACTCACTGAAACAGTCCAGGTTGTACTACATCCTCCCATTCTCAAAGATTTATTTCAATTTGGGGTGGGAAAGGTGATGACGTTAATATAGCCATCTGTCTGCTGGCAATTTAGTGTTCCCTTTCATATTCTGCCTTTTAAGTCTCTTTGGCAGAGCATAGCTGCTGGTGTAGCAGCTTAAGCCCTTTGAACAGCTCAGGGTCCATGCTATTCCCAGAAAGCAATATCTCACTCAGGATGCATCAGTGGCTGCATTTTGTCCAGAGCTCCTCGTGTCCCGCCAGCAGCAACATGCACCACCCCCTGGCAGGAGCTTCTGCAAATGTTCAGTAGACACTCGCACCAGGCTGTGCTTAAGTTACATCACTGTTGCTGGAGATGCTGCGTGAATGAGCCTGACCAGCCAAACCGCCGCCATGGGCCTGGCTTCCTTCTCCACAAAACACAACAGATGAGTTGTCAGGGTCATCCTCAGCATCATTGTGCAGCACCTCTAGACCAGGCATGTTCGGGTTCTTCAAATACTGGGAAAAGCCAGAAACAACAGTTTAGGTATATAAGCCACTTAACAGATGCATTACAAGACAGAGCAGATACCACCAACTTGCTGCAGACCAGAATTCACAGCGGCAGCTGTTCCATTCCGGATTTCCTTGAAACTACACTGAACAAGGAGAAAGTTAAAAATACCTTATTTCTGTGGGAGGAAAAAGAAAATCAATCATGAAAACATCCACTGAAGCTGACTTAAAGCCACCTGCATTTCCTATTTTTCAGTAATTTTTGGCTAATACTGTTTTCCTGTCAGTTTAAGCAAAATCCTACTAGTTAAGAAAAAGCCACAGAAGAAAACACTATTATACTGCTGGGGACACATCTTCCAACAGCAGGAATCTAGCAACTGACAGCTTGTCTAAAGCACTGATGTAGCAAAGGAAAGCCAAAATTCTGGTTTGTTCAGTGCCAGGCAAGTCAGATCTACATACTACTACCAGCAACCTCTAGTGACATGCTTCTCTTGTATCTACTTTCTGCTTTGACTTGCCTTCTGTTCCTCCCAAATTAAGTCCTCAGCTTTACAAGGAACACATAAAGAAAGGAACATTAGAAAGAGGCCAGAGGAAACGCTTTCTGTTGCTCCTGCCACCCCCACCTATTCTTCTTATCTCTAAGCTGATGATGTGTTTTACAGGGAATTGGAGCCATCTTCAGGTACTGAACCAAAAACCACACCTGCCATTGAACATTTTATTCCCTGATTTAAAAATAAAATAAAACAAATGTCTGGAACACCTTTGTGTTGTTGAAAGACAGGCATAGCTTGTAGTTTTACTCAAAAGCTTGTTCTGTACTGTAGGAGGTGTCATAATCTGGCTGAGATGGGATGGCAGCTCAAGTCACATCAGTTGTGGGACAGTATTAACCTTAGTTTCAATTAAGGTACCACCCTCTCTGTAATCATAGCTAATGGCTAAGGAGCAACAGGCTGGCTTTTCAGGTGTTAAACCCAAACATTTTATATGGGAACCTCGAATACATCCACTTCAGCAAATTCAAGACATAAATGAACCTCAAAAGTTGGTTCTGCTCTGTGAAGGCATTTCTGCAGTAGAACTCCTCCCCACAGCTAAGATCCTTCTGTAAAAGAAGGAAGCATGTGATCTTTCTGAACATCTCAAGGAGTACGTATGAAACTGGCTTTAAGCAGTCTCCTACATTTAAAGAGGAGAAGCCCCAGGCTGGTTGATCCCTTCTAAAAATACCCATTATAAAAAATCCTGTGTATTTTCCAGATGACTACAATTACTCCAGAACACAGGATGACAGACTCTGTTCTTGTGAGTCCTCTGCGTAAGATGCTGAACTGTTTAAATACGCAGTACATGGATTTTTTTTCCTCCTATGTGAACTAGGCTCTGCTTGATATGTGCTACAGGTGCCTCCACTGAGCCTCATCAAATGGTAGCTGAGGTAGCAGGAAGAGAGACAATGATTTACTCCAGGGTCTGCAAGAAGTCTGGGTTCATTCACCCACACATCTATAATAATCTGGAAACAGAGCTCCATAATCACAGAATTACCATAGTACAAGGGACCCCTCTGACAGGCAGATCTCTACAAAGAACTGACCTAGAGACCGGCAAACAAATACAGGCTTTTAAAAACATGGAATTTATGCTAAACAAGGACTTGGAAATTGGGAACTTGGCTTAAAGACTACTTTCTGTTTAAACACTAAAAAGAGGAAGATGAACAGGACTGAAACAATACTGGCTAGTGCAGAAATGTGTGAGCTACAAGGAGGAAAAAGTCCCAGGATGACCTTTTCATCCAAGTATTGATAAACCTACAGAGGAAAGAACAAAGCCCAAGAAGGTCCCCAAAGTAGTCCTCAGCCTTCAAGGCAGTCCCTGCTCTTAAAGCCATCAATGTTTGCTTTTCCATATTTGATTTTTAATGAGACCCAGGTCCCAAGTATGTGTTCTGCAACACACAACAGCTTTTTGCTTCCAGTAAGCAACTGTTTCAGGCTTGATGACTTAGATAAGCAAGGAAAGGGGCAGACAAGGGGTAGTTAAGGAACAGAGAATCTTACTCTGGTTTCATAACAGGATTAGAGTAGCATTTGTATCTTAGTACAAACTGTTACTTTTCTTATGATCCCCCATTTTATTCCTCTTCTACTCAACTATTTCTTTTTCTATGCACTAAGTAAGTCAACTGTTTACATCTGTTTCCATTACACAACATACAGCTTTGTTCATATTCACTCCAAGAGCATTGCAGTCTTTTACAGGGGAGAGAAATAAAACATTTTCACATACCTCTTCAAAGTGTGGTGGGATTTGTAAAGGTGGCTGAGACCAATATTTAAGTTTTTTGTGGTATCTCCACAGTAATAACAAACCAACTGCTACCAGATTTACAGAAACTAACACCAACAGAAACGTTAGTACAATATATACAGCTCTGCTTGCCTCTGAAAAAGAGAAAAACCAAAACAAATATACATATGGCAGGTTCATATTTATACAAATGTAAAAGAATACACAGCAAGCTGAAATTTACTATACTTGGTAATCAAAGTGTATATATATATATATATATATATATATATATATATATATATAAAGTACGTATATGTGTTCAGAAGTAGCTTGTTTAGTGATTCCATGTGGCAGTCACCAGCACAGCCTAAGGCA